AAAAAAAAAAAAAAAAAAAAAAATATATATATATATATATATATATATTTTTTTTTTAAATTGTTATGGGTTCTTAAGAGGAAACATAAATGCTCAAGATGAATCAGAAATCAAATTTCTATTGAATATTGCTGCAAGCGTTGTTCAGTAACCTATTTGTTTATTATAAATATAAACATTATTGAAAATGTTTTCCTACCTTGAAGATCCACAGGAAATTCTTGTTTCTGTGAGTCTGGACATCTGGATCTAATGTCTCATACTGAAGCCTATTAGTGAATAAAATAAAAAACTGGATTTTCAGGGAAAATATTAAAGAAACGGTTTGCAATTTTTTTTAAAAACAAAGACAAATAGAAAGCTATATCTGTTTAAGTTCCCACTGTTAAAGTACAGGACCTATTTAAGTATAAATTAAGGTAAATATTAGGTGTATCATTGTAATATTTTCTGTCCTATAAGCAAATAAAACAGGGGCTGGTGAATAATAATATATTCTACATTGACAATAGGTATTTTCATACACTGTCCAGCAGTTATGTTAGTGCACCAAAATTAATGGAGATTAGGGCTGTCAAAAAAAAAAATCGAATTTCGAATATTCGTCGAATTTAAAATAAAAATCCACATTCGAATGCAAAAAGGCAGCCTTCTCAGCGGCGCACGAGATGCGATGATGATGTAGTGTCGTTGTATTATAATGTTTTTGTTAACCTATCCAGTTGAAGCCACTAGATGCGGAGCTGCTGCGTTGTTCATTAAAAATATAGCGGAAAAAGAGAACATCAATGCGGAGAAGATCTTGTTTACATCAAAACCGAACCAAGCCGTTCACACAGAACACATATTTAACGCATTTTCTAGACGGACATCTATTACTGTGGCTCTCGAGTCTCGCACAAAAGAGCCGCGTGTTTAGAAAGGCATGTAAAATTAATGCAAGTTAAAATTTGAAAAAAAACATACATCGAGACTTTATAGCGGGGTTTTCCCCATCCCACAGAATCTCATGTTTTTAAATGAAAAAATGTACTCTGTGTGATTGGCTTTCCGCCCTTTGTATTAAACAATGCATACATACATGATGCTGTTTTGTTTATAGTTGTTTAAGCAATTTAATTATAATTGGTTTATAAACATTATTTTAAACATTATGCACTTTTTTCCCGCATAGTCATGTTATCTTATGCTTTGAATGATGCGCCCTCTTGTGGCCTCAGGAGAGAAGCCAAAAGCTTTTCTTCACCCTAATTGAAATTATGCATTTTAAATTCGAATATAATTCGAATTTTGATAATATTTAAGAACAAAATTCGAATTTAGTTTTTCAGCCACTTTGACAGCCCTAATGGAGATTGCAAAATACCACAGTTCACATCAAATCATTATAATCTTCTCTGTTTCTAATCTTCTTTGCTGATGTTCTTAGTATCTTAATGAAAACTCTGATAAATAATTCAACAGTATAGTTTCATGATAAATACTGATTTAAATATTTTCAACGAACAGTCTATGTGCAACCAACAATAAGAATCGGCACACTGCCACCGCTGCTCCCAAAGATCAATTTATTTGAATATATTGAATCTAAGAATAAATTGATCTTTGGGAGCAGCAGTGGATTCTTGTTTACTTATAGTGAAGCGATTCATTTGATCGTGCGCCTGCCAAAAGTTTTTGTATGTGCGCATATTATATGCCTTTTTTCAACCAACAATAAGAAACCCATGAAGTACCTTTTGGTAGATGTTTTTTTCTCACTTAAGTCCGGTGGCACACCTCCCTTTGAACGGTCACTCTTCACAGACACAGAGCTGAGCACATGTGAGCCTGATCTTACACTAAAGACACAAAGAACAGAGGAAAAAATAAACAATATTACAGGGGGTACTTCAGTCCAATTTATGAATTTTTAATGTTGTAAATTGTAATTAATATGCAATTATAGCCATGCATTTGTTCTACTATAGTTATACAAGTTTGGTTGAATGATCTATTGTATTTTTCATGGTGAATTTATGCTTTTTAATCACTGCCTGTATAAATGTATTATTGGAAAAAACTCCAGACCAGAGTTCAGTAAAGGTTACCAGACATTGTGTTCAGTGATTTATTTATTTTTTATTTTTTTTAATTCAGTCAGCATCGATCACAAAAACCACAGTGGCAAAATTAGCTAACATAATGCTATAATGTAATACCTTTTGGTAGATGAGTTTTTTTTCTCACTGAAGTCTGGTGGCACACCTCCTTTTGAATGGTCACTCTTCACAGACACAGAGCTGGACACATGTGATCCTGATCTTACACTAATGACAGAAAGAACAGAGAGAAACACATAATAGGAGATACTTCAGTCTCATTTGAAGAGATTTTTTTGTGCCAAATGGGAGTTTGTTTAGTTCGGTTTAACACAACTAATTCACTAACTCATCAGGCCTAATATAAAGGAATCACAGGTAAACTACCAGTCAAGTAAAGTACTGGTTTCTCATGCTGCACAATTTCCACTTCACTGAAAAACACAACTGGCTCTAAAACTGTGTTATAGTGCAACCATATTAAATCTCATGAGTAAACAAACTCTGTTTAACCCATTGACCAGATGAGAAAATACTAAAGCAAAAATATCATCTTGTTTCTATAGCAATGAATATACTGAACAATGAACTGCATACTGTGAATAAGTCTGAGAAAGAGACAAAAATCTAAATTTCCCTTTTAAAGAATCCACTGATTTACACTGTAAAGCCGAGTTTGATGTGTATTTGTATTCATTTGAAGTAATTCTAGTTTGCCCATTATTTACATTTAATACCCACTAAACATGCAACCCCCGAAAGTGTAATGCAAACAACTTTATATGATAAATAAAACATATTACAGTTAAACCCCACAGAGAGACCAATATGCTCAGAGAAGACCAAAAGTCAAATCTGAAGTTCGATCAGTTGACAGAGTCAGTCACCTCTCAGATAAATACAGACAATGCTTGTAACATAAATGCCAGAACAGATAGAATGGTTCTAAGAATACTATATCACTTATTGATTATTAAATAAAAGAGGCGGGAATTAGAAATCCACCCCTTTCAGCAGTAATAACAGATATTAGACCAGTTTCAAGTTGTTTTGAACCTAGAACGATCTAAAAGCAGTAATAGGAAGTTCTAAACTGAAGTTTTGCACAGCATTTGACATGACAGCATGTAATGTCCATTGTTGATGGGATTTTATTCTTTACAGACAGTGTTTAAAATGATTATGTAAACACAGACTCAGTCTTACCTCTGTTTCTCCGAGAGACTGATCTCAGCTGGAGAGTCCTTTCCTCTCTCCTCTGACATACTGCAGCTGAACAGACTGGTTTGTGAAAATCAGATGCTCATCATGACCTGGAAATGACAGTATTTTACTGAAATAACATGGCCATTCAGATGGATGAATGTTGAGTTAATAAATAAACAATATATTTTTAAAAAAATGGGCTACAAAAAATATTTTAACCATCTTGATTCAGATCACTCCACACAATATGGATCTAAATATCTATTACTATGCAAGTAATAAGCATTATGTGGTAACACTTCACAATAAGGTTCCACTTTTTAACATTAGTTAACGTGAACTAACAATGAAATATACTTGTAAAGCTTTTATTAATCCTAGTTAATATTAATATCAACATTTACTAATGCATTATTAAAATCCAAAGTTGTACATAAGAATATTAATTAATAGACCTGAGCTAACATGAACTAACAATGAACAGTTGTATTTTTATTAGTTGTATTATCGTTAACAAAGATTAATAAATACTGTAAGAAATGTTTTACTCATTATTAATGCTAATTAATGCATTACTTAATGTTAACTAACGGACCTTATTTTGAAGTGCTACTCATGTTTACACAGTGATTGATGACACTGATGGTAAAACAATGAATGCTTTGCTTTCTATTTCTTATTATGTTTTTATGCAATGATATGCTATGAAAACCAAAATATTGAAATGTGTTTTAGGTATATTCTTTAACATTAATGTAAATGGTTTTAAGGAACATCGGTGTGTTGGAGTTGATCTACCTGTGTGAATTCACATAACCCAGTGTTGTGTAATATTCAGTTCCTGTAAAAAACTGTTCCAGTTGCTGGAGCATACATGAATATTCATTATAGTTCCCCTGTTGTGGGCGGGTCTTTAAGACAACACACAAACGAATGGAACTGAACATATTAGCGCAACACTCATCAAATCGCAACTTGTTTAATGGATTATTTCTAAAAGGTAATGAAGTTTCAATGTTAAGCAATAGCTGCAACAGTTTCAAAACCATGCAGAGTTCGTGGAATATGATAAATCATCTGAGCTGTTTTGTCTGTTTAATCACAGGTACACAGCAGAGCAAACAATGAGTGAATAACCTATGCTAGCCAAGGCTAATACAATTTTTAACCATATATGTACATGATGATGAACAGTGTTGGGGTAACGCATTACAAGTAACGCGAATTACGTAATCAGATTACTTTTTTCAAGTAACTAGTAAAGTAACGCATTACTTTTTAATTGACAAGAAAATATCGGAGTTACTTTTTCAAATAAGTAACGCCAGTTTTTTTCCCCCATTTATTAATTTAAAGCTCTCCTGTGCCCATGTTGAGAGAAATCAGGAGTAAGATATTACTTAAGTTCTAGAATAAATGTGAACATGCATTAATTCATCTCACTCACAAAAAAAAACAGATTTAGTTTTCCTTAAAATTAATAAAAACAGTTAAAAGCAACTCAGAATATGACTCAAAGCTGCAATAATTAAATATGTTAAATAATACAAATATCCTTTATGTATTTAAGCCCATTTTATTAACCAATTTGCTGCTGACCTCCGATGATCCAATTCAACTATACTAATAAGCAAAAATTACACAAGATAAACTAACATTTCTTCTTCTTTTTTATTGCTGAAGAGTGTTGAACTTTCTTCTTCAGCGTTCTACTGTACAGACGTGAATTTACTTTTCCTTCAGCCTGAGGCTTTTGGTGTGAAAGGGCTTTTACATTTGCCAAAAATATAACTTTTTATATTAAAAGCAAACAAGCAAGCCCTGCCAAGATTTAAAAAGTTACACAAAAGTAACGTATCGCATTACTTTCAATAAAGAGTAACTAAGTAACGTAATTAGTTACTTTTTTAGGAAGTAACGCAATATTGTAATGCATTACTTTTAAAAGTAACTTTCCCCAACACTGATGATGAATATATGTAGAAACATCACAAAAGCAAAACTAAGCCATATTATGACATTGGCCTTGACGTATGATTTCGTATCCCAATTTAAAAATACAATTTTGAGGATGTTAATAATGTTTGAGGACTGTGCACTAATATTGTCTGCACTAATATTTTTAGATCTATTCGTTTGTATGTTGTCTCAAGAACATGCCCATAATAGGGGAACAATAATGAATATTCATATATACTTCAATAATAATAATTCGGTTGAGCCATTTTTATTATCATTTTTATTATAAACATTCAAGGGAGCTGCTAGTTGGAATTAGATAGGCAGAACTATTGCCGCGAAGAACGTAACATAAAAAACAAATAAACACAATTTTTATGTCAAGCTCTCAAAGGCCCAGCTGTAGCACTGCCCCTGCTAGAAATGTCTGGCTTAAGAATACTTTCGATTTTATGATACTATACATTTAGAGATATAGCTGCAGCTAAACAGCCAGTGCAAACATCAGCACTGCTTTGTGAAGAGTGTCAGCTGTTCAGCTTGACCTGAAGATAACGATGTTACTGAGATGAATAACATGGCATTTCAGAGGGACGAATGAAAAAGAAAAAGATTATTATAGATCATTTCACAAAACACATGGCCTAAATGTGCTATGCAGGAAATAAACACTTTTTTGCTACTGACATTGATAACCAACAATACTTTACTTTCTGTATTGGAGTCTTCACTCAACTTTTTCCTATCTTGTTGTATCATAGTGCTTTTGAAATAAGAGTAATTTATTATTTGTACTAAACGTAATATGATATGCTACTTGAAGCAAAACATTTGTTTTGTTATATTATTCTTTAAAATAAAACCGAATTACATGAAAGTATTATGTTGGAGTTTAGCTACCTAAGTTAACTAGAAATGTCGGATTTCGTCGAAATCTTATAACTTTCTGTGACTGTATCTACTTTCGATTTCGTTACATTTAGTAATGCGAGTTATCTAAATGATAAAAGCAGACTAAATGAACGAAGTGTGGGAAAAATCCTTCAGAAAAATTATTATTCAATTTTAATAAGCTTCATGCTTTAACATGCGTGCTGGTCAAACAGTTTGCGTAATTTGCAGCTTCTTCTTGTTCGTCGGTTATAGGCTAACAGTTAGGCCTGGAACTGGCATACAACTTCGCAATTTAATAGATTTAAACACTCCAAATAGGCCTAATTGTAACAAGGGAAGTATTCAAGCTTACGTGCAGTAGTACAGACGGTCTTGTGTACAGGGAACAGAATCCAGATATCTTTGAAAACTAAGAAGACACACTTTCCAATGTTTTTCGGTCCTTCACACTTGTTGTTTGTCATGTGGTGATTCCAAAGCAAAGTCCAAGCCAGTAAAATAGATTCATTATTAACTCGGACTGGTCACGATTAACAGCGTTCACTGTACGCTCTGATGTTCGCTTTCATTTGCCAAATAACTGTACATGTTCACTGAGGCGGAGTGAGCGATGCTGAGCGCGGTTATCAATACATTCTTGTGATCTGTCGTCGGTATAGGAAGATGGATTGTGGTTCGTAAATGTTATTTTTGTTAGAGCCTGTAAAATGTTTTCTGGGACCTGGTATGAATCAAAGCCAACCAACGTTTTTTTCTTAGTATAGTTTTGTTTTTGTACTATTACTTTCACTTTCGTCTTCTTCGGTGGGTTTAAATGGTAGAGCAGCTGAACTGTTCATACCGCCATCTGCTGGACTGGAGTGTGGAGAGTATAAATACATACAGTATAATTTAAACGGTCAACATGGCATTTATTTTTGTCCGTTTCTGGATCATTTTTAAAATATACATATTGTAAATGCCTGACATCCTGAGGTTCTTTCTTACTGCATGTTTAATCCTTTGTTTCATATTGACATATAACTCTTGCCAAATTCTAAAAAAAATATTTAATAAAAATACCATTAAATATTTTAAAGCAGCCTATTTAAGAGTTCCTTTCCTCACAAAGCAAAAAACAAACAACCAAACAAACCCCACTTCAAAACCTTGAATGAAATACATCCTTCTAATCATTAATTTTGATGTACTGTACCTTGCCATTTCTGTAATTTCTCTTCTCAAGATACAGAACATTTAGTTTTTTCTCATAGTATATCCAAAGTTTTGTTTTATGTGATTAATAACTTTATAATACTGGCAAAATATTTACACACATATGTAGATTCATTATATACCTCCTCTATTCATTATATTCAGAAATTAATTAAAATATTTCTCAGAAGCCCTTCAAAGTGTTTGATCTCCTTGTAACATAATTTACTGCAGAAATGACCACCTAGATCAAAGTGTATCCATGTCTAAGTTTGCAGAAAACATTTCTTTGATCACATCATTTGGAATTGTTGCTTCACATTTAACCTAAATGATTTTCATATATTGTGCATAATATAAGTAAGAGCAGGTTGGGAGTATATAATGGATGTCAGAGAGGATCAAAAGCAGAAATGTTTTAGTTATCTAGTTTTAAATAAACATGCACAACACCAGAGGGCTAATGAGTCGCTGGGACACGGGTTCAAATCCGGCCTGAATTAAGTGCCAATATCATCCTTTCTTTCCGGTCTGCTCTCCACTTTCCTGTCAAATAAAGACAGCAACGCCAAAAATTCAGTTGCTAGTTTAATATTTTTGAATAAAACATGCTATTGCACAGAGGTCAAGATGTGTTTTTTATTATTCAAAAACCTACTGACCTTCACTGTCACAGTGTGTTCCACAGGATCCTCTCTGATGTAATTTCCTCTAGTTGTTGTTTTTCATCATATGAGAACGGAAAGGCTTCCTGCGTGATAGTAACACTGACTCTGGATGACAACAGTGTTAATTATGTTAATGATTGTATGAAATAACTGCCAGTGAGATGAGAATGGGTTTATAACATTTGTCTTTATGTATTAGTCAGACCTGCATGGCCACTCATTCATATGTCATTTCTACAGGAAACTCTACAGCTTTAAACAGAAGAACCTCTACATCTGCCAGAAGATTAGTTAGTCTGCACTGATGAAAGAGGAGAGACTCCATCAACACCTCTTACGTCAGTCAAAGCTTTATTATCTTGTGTTCAGAGTATAATGAACCAAACACAATCAAACTCTTACTTAGAAGTTTCTTCACAGAACTAAAACAATATATTTGTGCCGACAAAAAACTGGCTTAATACAAATTAAAATAATGCATATATATATATATATATAAATGTAAGAGATTATATGTAAACATGTACAGAAATATAAAAATAAAAATTAATTTATGGCAAAAATAAATATAAAATTGACATTGATAGTACCGATTTGAATCTTTAAACATTTAGACTTACTCTTTCCTTTATTTCACCTGTAAATAAAACCACAAAATATCATTTATCACATGTAAATACAAAACCAACAATAAACATTCAACATTACTCATGAACTTGTATGTTTCTATTAATGCTGCATTATTAAATCTGAAAGTCTGAGCCTCTTCCAGCTGTATGCTTTAGTTATCATTATTGAAAAGCAATACATACAGTAATAAACTTTAGTTTTGTTAAAGCAGTGCTGTTTGAAGCTGTTTAAATCGGTTATCAAATAAATATATCTGTTTATAAACACTGAATTCATAACAGCTGTAGGTTTTGAAATGCTTGCTTCTCACCAAAAATATCCCTTCTGCTGTCCAAAGATTTAAAACAGGTAAGGGGTAGGATTTTTTATTTTATTTATGCTGATACTCTCAGTTCATATTTGAATATATAATGAACATTTAAATTTTTGATTATAGAAATCACATCAAACATATGAATTTATTACAGTACTAGTGAGGCTTGTCTGAGGATTCCTCATCTGATGGTGACTTTTCCTTTTCTGTTGATTTCACAGGTTCCTGAGCTTTTGACCAGTGTGTTAACAATCCACCAATGAAGTTCACTCTCCAGCTGAACCAGTCTTTCTCCAGGCTGCAAGGAGGAAGCAAAAACAGTGTTGAGTGGAGAAGTTGCAAATTATTTACTGTATTTCAATTACTTTGAGTACAGAGTATAACAGACTTTTAACAGACTTGAGTACAGAGTATAACAAACTGATTTTACATTGCTTGCCGCACATTTTTATAGATCAATATTGGTAACACTTTATTTTAAGGACCAATTCTCACTATTAACTTGCTTATTGGCATGCGTATCCTTAGCATATTAATCAGTGGAGTCAGCATATTAGCTGTTTATTAGTACTTATAAAGCACATATTAATGTCTTATTCTGCTTGACCATATTCTAGATCCCTTAACCCTACCATATATTAAACTTAACAACTACCTTACTAACTACTAATAAGCAGCAAATGAGGAGTTTATTGAAGCAAAAGTCATAGTTAATAGTTATTTGATAGTGAGAATTGATCCCCAAAATAAAGATTGACTACAATAGTTGTGTTTTAAATATAATACATTCAAAATGCTAATCTGAGTTAGTCTGACTACAACAAAGAGATGTTTACTCACCTCAGTTCACAGTTTGAGTCTCGTAGCACGTCACTGAGCTGCTTCTCTGAGTCTCCAATCATTCTGTAATTCAAATCAAGCTCTTTTAGAAAATGTAGTGCTTTTGTGTTTGTCAAAGACTGAGTTAAAGAAGAAACATCTGTAATGCCACAGTCATGCAAGTCTAGAAGGAGACCAAGAGAACAGACAGTTTATGATATTTTTAGTGCACAGTCACATTAGCCTTTTCTCAGCAAAATTTTGCAGGCAATATCACAGTCATCTCAATGTGAATCCATGTAATGAGGAATTCCATCTGATGGACTTCAGTTGCAGAGAAATTCCACTACATGAATTTTGCATCTAGTTCAAGTGAATTTGACTGAGAAATTCACAGCATTGGTCAAAATAAGATGTTTGATTTGACAGTGAAGTGTGGGCAGAGCCTCGTCAAAGCTACACTAATTATTCACAAGGAATGAGGCAATCTTTCAAGTGGTGTCTACTTCATACCAGCATTGTTCAAGAATATAAAGTGCTGCAGTATAAAGAGACTGTCTGAAAAAATGTTTTCACACACGCTTCACGTCCAGTCCTGACTTTTATATGCCTGCAGAAATTTGCCTTTCAAAGGTAACTGTAACTGCACCTTACCAGCCAGTGGGAATTTTAACAAGACAATTCATAAATAGACCCACATATTTTAAATGTATAATGCCATGCTCTACATTGCCAAAAGGTTTAAAATAAAAACTGAATACAGAGCAGTTTTAAAAAACATTATTATAGATAATAAAGAAAAATAAAAGCACATATGAAGTGTTGGAGGCAGAAGTTTCTGCAGAAACACATTTACTCCTTTGCAACTTAATTATTTTTTGTAAATGTTATACTGTTACACTGTATACAGTTACTGTTTTCATCACAAATATAATTTCTTGCACAAATAAAAAAAAAAACATTCAACAACTAATATTTAATCAAAATGCACATTTTTGTCTCTTTTTGGGCTCCTTGCTTTGCTTACGATCTGTCTGGTCTAAGGCACGTGTTTTTGGCCAATTGGTCATGAAGCTGTCCTGCTGCGGTTCGCACTGTGGTCTCTGCCATTTACAATGTACTTACACATGTACACTTTACAGTAGCAACCATGTAACTGTAAAGTAAAACTCACTAATTTGCAAGTGCAACCTTTTTTTTGTGCCTTTTTGTGCTTATTACACAGGACAGTGTAATGATTGGTGGGGAATGTGATCGGCAAAGGACCTTAAGCCAGGAATCGAACACGGGTCGCCAGAGACACAGTTGCACTATATGTCAGTATATACCATATACCACTATACCACTAGACTATCGGTACCGACAGGTTCTATTGCTGTTTAGTTATATTGGTTCAGCCCAAATAAAAAAACAAAAAATGAATATGAAATAAATAATGCATGTTGCATGATTTAAATATAAGTATTCATTTATCAGAAGTCACAGTTAACTGCTCAACAAGCTTCATTAATCATCCTTCACTTATTGCTAGATGTGTTGAAAACAATAAAATCTTGACCTTCTGGTCATTTTTTCTTTTTTAAATTTTTACTAAAGAATACATTTGCTTCCTCATTTGCTTCCTGTATACTCTATTCAAACCTAAAATGTAATTGAATTACAGTGAGTAGTCAAATGCAGTCATTGGCTGGAAACCCAGCTGCCAGTGTAGGCTACTATGTTTTCCTTCTCTATCCCAGTGGCTGGGTTTCAGAAAACC